TAGACACCATGTTGTTTCATCTGTAAATGCTTCCATATGCTTTTCTAGCTGATGAGAACTTTACAAAGCACAGCTACTGTCCCATGTCACACCTAGCAAGACCAATAACAGTTACTTGTATCTCCAGCTTATCCTGGAGCAGATGGACTGATGCCACCAAGGGTGCATGTGTCTGTGAGTCCTTACCTCAGCTCTGCCACTAACTCACTTCCTCTCCCTAGACCTTGGTCACACGCTCTAAATACTGGTCACACCATGCTTAGATACTGTGTTATAGTTTACAGAGCATATTGATGAATACTATTAAGTTTCTCATACCATGTCTTTGAGATGTGAGAGGGCCTTTTCTAATTCCCAAATCCTGTGTTTCCTCTGAGAATATCTGGTGATTTGGCAAGGATGGAGCAGAACTCAATCTGTTTGAAAGCAGAGGGAAAGAACAGATCAGCTCTTGAAGCCCCATTTGGGTTGTGCACTGTTAATAATCATAACAATATTTGCAGTAAATGAGAAGGACGGTTCCATTGCTTGTGGAAGTACACTGAGGCCTTACTTTCAGAGAATTCACAAGAGAAAAGGCAGCCAGAATTCACTGCTAAGATGCTAAATGTTCTAGTTTTAGTAGTTTTTCTGTTCACACCTCCCTAGGTGTTTGCTGGTTATGGCTAATAATAAAAACAAGATGTGTTGAGCACTTACTATGTCCCAGGCACTAATGCTAGCTGCTACTAAGCATGATCTCATTGGCCCTCACAACAGCCCTTTGAAATCGGCGTGATTATTCCCATGGTCGTGACCATTGCTGACCCACAGGTGGAGGCCTGCTGTGGCGAAGTATAAATTCATAACCGTGTGTCCTTTCTCCACTCGCCCTTGTGAGAACTCAGCTGTGTGAGGATCTTCTGCCCCACTAATCTTCATTTAATTCCCCTCCCTGCAGCACGTTGTCACCTAGCACGCCCCTGCTGACAGGCCCTCTGTAAGTCTTCATCTGAATGACGGCCCTGGAAAATCAAGCTGTGGTCTCAAAGGGAAGGAGGATCTGCAGATTATCTCCTCAGCGTGCGCATTCACTCTGCTGGCAGCTCTCGGGGCTGCTTTTATGTTGCCTCAACAAAGAGAAAGGCTGCCAAGAGTGTGTAATGTTCCGTTCAGAATTCCCCAGGCTGGCAGCGGCTGGGACAGTAGAGACACAGGGAAGATGAAGAATTCCCAGCTCGGCCACATCCATCTCGTCTCACCCTTGTCTGTGTATGGAAGTCTTTGTTTTGAGAATCTTCCCCTGATTCTTTATAGGCCCTTGGAAATGTAAGCCGAGGAGGCAGGGAGGAGAGCAGGAGAGTGCGTGGAGAAGCTGGCTGGAGATCAGATCATTTTGCCACAAGCAGCAGGCAGTTTCTTTCACAAATCATTGAACCCTGGGTAGCCATTATCATCCCAACTGCTTTCTATTAACTAGCCCAGACTCTGAAGGCCATGAGAGTAAGAGAAATAGAATTCCTTTACTTTCTCACACTCTAAACACTGTCATACCATGTTTAGATACCATGTTACAGTTTAAAAAGCATCTTGATACATACGATTTTGTTTCTTACACCACTTCTTTGAGATGATTATAACCTGACCTTATTAGTAAGAAAAAACAAAAAAAATGCCAAAATATTTTTAGTTTTAAAAAACCCAAGAAAACAAAGGCTCAGAAACATTAAGTGACTATCTCAGAGACACTCAGCTGAATGAGGTAGGAGCCAGGCTTGTAAAACAGGACTTCTGACTTACAGTCTTGTGCCTTTTCTCTTATACTGTACCTTCCCGATGCTAGCCAGGTTCCTAGAGACTGGGTGGGGTACAGTCCCACCCTGCAGGACGGTGGGGGGCTAGCAAGCAGATCTGCCTTTGGTGGCAATGGACCACACGTGAAAACCACGTTTACTCTGATCGCCTCCTCCGAAGGTCTCTCACTGCTTGCTTCCTGTTAGCATTTTAGTAACCAAGTGATGACATTGGCTTAAAAAATTGTTGCAATAAAATCCAAAAGCTGTGGGGGAAAAATTCATTGCACGGGCATCGCCGTGGGAGAACATGCTCTGAGGGAGCTGTGTGCGCTCCCTGGCCTCCCCAGCTCTGGCTGTCTTCATAACTGTGGACTCATGGCTGGGCAGATATTTTGTCCCCCATTTTAGAAATGATGAAGCTGAGGAAAGAGGGAGCAAATGATTAATTTCTTCTAAAGATACCTGGAAATTTGAAATGTAAAAGTTTCTCTTTAGAGAAAACTGGTTTAGGAATACATGTTAAATTCAGGTCTTTAGAACTGAAATGTTTCTGTCACTAATAATTTTTCATCATTAAAACGGTTCTAGCTAATGCTAAGGTATTATTTCCTCTTAAAAAGCTTGGATTTTCTAACCCTGAAACAGGTTCTGAAAAGCTCTCTGATCCTTCTAGCTAGGATGCTAGTGATTGCCAACCCAGGAGAGTGACCAAACCCCAATGCCCAGGAATGTTACTTGTCTTATTGGAATAGTCCAAAAATACTTTTTTTAAAACCACAGATTATGTGTTCATCATAGAAAAAATATTTAAAATACAGACAAGGAAAAAGAAAAAACCCCTGCAATTCCACCACCCAAAGATTATTACTATTAACATTTAAGTAAACTTTTTGCTATAGGTGTCTATTTAAATGTAACATGTATATACACACATGCTATTAAAGTTCTTATAAAATTGTTTTGTGCCCATATATCCCCTTAATATGTTACAAATTTCTTCCCATGTCAATGTATAAACTTCTACTTCACCATTTTGAATGTCACCATGTTTATTCCATTGTATTTACTTAGTTTTAAGTCCTAAAGGATTTATTTAGTTATTTTTAAATTATGAAATATTTTACTCATTAAAAAAATATTCAGAAGAATTATCCTAGTTTATTTAACCTCTGCCACCTTAAGAATCCCCTTTCCTGGAAGCACATAATGATTTCAGTAACTAATTGAATTTCACTCTGCAGTTTACAATGTACTTGCCCATATATTATTTCATTTGATCATGATTATTATTTTCTTCATTTTATAGATGAACCTACATAAAGCTCAGAAAGGCTAAATGATTTACACACTACCTCAAGTGCAGTTAATGTCAGAGAGATGGCTGGGTCTCAAGTCTAGGTATGACTGCTGTGGCAGGGCAGATCTCCATGCAGGCAGGGGAGGGGGTCAGGACCAGCACAGTGGCCCAGTGGGCTCACCGTGCACCTCCCCCCACCCCACTCTTACTTCAGCATTGGGCATGTGTACTGACATTATTCGTTTCTTGACTGTCTCCCTTTTGACCTTGTGTGCTCTCTGAGGTCAGAGACTCCTGTCTTCATTTCTCTCTCTACCCCTGCTGCCCACCATGAGTTCTAATGTATAATAAATACAATTGTTTGCTGACTGAGTGAATGGATGAATGAATGAAGGGTGTCATAGAGGTAAGCAAATTACGGAGGCTGGGTTTTGACAGCTTTCTTTCTCAGTGCCACTATTTTCAGTTCAGACATTTTAACCAGCTCCCATTTTGGTGTTTTTGAGTTTCTGTGTTTCTGCAGGTTATAGTCCCTTCTGCAAAAACTCACATGGAAAAGTATGTTCAAGACCAAGGGCAAAGAGAAAATTGCTTGCATACTTGGTTTCTCCACCTTTTCTAGTGCTGGCCCTCACTCCAGCCCCAGCTGAGCTGAACCAGGCTCTCCTTAAAGCCACTTCATAAGTTACCATTATATCTTTCATTTGGAACAACTTTATAGTTATGATATTTATACATCTCATTTTGAACTGCTTGTTAAAACAACAGCTTAGCTTAGCAGCTACAGCTTAGTTGATGAGAGTTGTCTGAAGCTCTATTATTGTTGATTGTAAAAGCAGTACAGCGGAATTACAAGAAATTTTAGAACAAAAATCACTAAAATCCCATCACCTAACAAGGCAACTGTTTTTATTCTTCCATAATTCCCTCAAGGTCTTGTCCATATGCACATATTTATTTTCTAGTTGTCACAGGGAGCATGCAGCATTGTTTCCTGCTTTTTTCAGTTAACATGATTATAAGAATATTTTTTCCCAATTTTCTTCATAGACTTCATAATTATCTTTTTAATGACTACATAATCCTCAATTGAGTCGATATACCAAAATGTACTCACACAGTCCCCCAGTGGTTGGCATTAAGATGTTTCTGATTTGCCACTAGTCCATAATGCTGCAGCAAAGATTGTCATACATATTGTTATGCAAGCTTTTATGTTTGTCGAATGATTTCTTTGGGGTATTTTCCTTTGAGTAAGATTGCTGGGTCAGAGTAGGATGGTGTTTGTGGGTCTTGCCATGATGCTTGTACAAAGGTAGTTCCTGTTTATGTCCCCAGCTGTTGATGTGTTTACCAATTTCAGGGCAGCCTTATCAGTATAGGGGTTGTGTTTAATTTTTTGTGTGTGCTAATTTGGTAGGCTTAAAATGGTACTTCAGGGCTTTATTTTGCATTTCATTGATTATTAAAGAAAATTAGCATTTTCCCCTGTGGTTACTCTTTGTGTTTCTTTGCATGTGAGTTGTCTGCTGGCACTTACAGTTCTTTGCCTATTTTAGTAAATTGAGATCTTGATTTTTTTTTAAATCAAACCAAGTGAAATCTTTACACACAATAGCTATTGAACTTTTTCATATGTTTCATATATTTTCCAGTGTTGTGTTTGCCTTTTAATTTTAGATCTGTATTTGTAGTATAAAATTTCTTATTTTTGTAATCAAATCTGTCAATGTTTTTTTCTTTTGCTTCAAAGCTTAGAAAGTTGTCCTCCCTCTGGAGAGATGATAAATATTTAATTCTACCTTCTGTTATTTTAAATTCTTTAATTCATCTGGATTGCACTTTACTATAAATTGAGTTGCAAATTACATTTCTTTTGAAAGTCCCTAATCATTTATTCCAATCTTCTTCTGTTCTTTCATTCTCAGGAATTATACACCAGATGAAAGGCGATTATGACACTGCACTGAAACTCCACAAGACCCACCTGGGCATCGCCCAGGAGCTGAGCGATTATGCTGCCCAGGGTCGTGCCTATGGAAATATGGGCAACGCCTACAATGCTCTGGGCATGTACGACCAGGCAGTCAAGTACCACCGGCAGGAGCTGCAGATCTCCATGGAAGTGAACGACCGTGCCTCACAGGCCTCCACACATGGGAACCTTGCTGTGGCCTACCAGGCCCTGGGTGCCCATGACCGGGCCCTGCAACACTATCAGAACCACTTGAACATTGCCCGGGAGCTGCGAGACATCCAGAGCGAAGCTCGGGCCCTCAGCAACCTGGGCAACTTCCACTGCTCTCGGGGAGAGTATGTCCAGGCTGCCCCCTATTATGAACAGTACCTCCGGCTTGCTCCTGACCTTCAAGACATGGAAGGAGAAGGGAAGGTCTGCCACAATCTTGGCTATGCCCATTACTGCCTTGGAAATTACCAGGAGGCAGTAAAGTACTACGAGCAGGATCTGGCACTGGCCAAAGACCTTCACGACAAATTGAGCCAAGCAAAAGCCTACTGCAACTTGGGCCTAGCATTCAAGGCTCTGTTGAATTTCAGTAAAGCTGAAGAGTGTCAAAAGTACCTACTGTCCCTAGCCCAGTCCCTGAATAATTCCCAGGCTAAATTTCGAGCCCTCGGGAACTTGGGTGATATATTCATCTGTAAAAAAGATATAAATGGTGCAATAAAATTCTATGAGCAGCAGCTGAGCTTAGCTCATCAGGTAAAGGATAGAAGACTGGAGGCCAGTGCATATGCAGCCCTGGGCACTGCATACCGAATGATCCAGAAGTACGACAAGGCCCTGGGTTATCACACGCAGGAACTGGAGGTATATCAGGAGCTGAGCGACTTGCCAGGGGAGTGCAGAGCTCATGGGCACCTGGCTGCTGTCTACATGGCCCTTGGGAAATACACAATGGCATTCAAGTGTTATGAAGAACAGCTGGACCTAGGGCAGAAGCTGAAGGATCCGAGTCTAGAGGCCCAGGTCTATGGCAACATGGGCATCACAAAGATGAACATGAATGTGATGGAAGAAGCCATTGGCTACTTCGAGCAGCAGTTGGCCATGCTGCAGCAACTAAGCGGGAATGAGTCTGTGCTTGACAGGGGCCGTGCCTATGGCAACCTGGGGGATTGCTACGAAGCCCTGGGTGACTATGAGGAAGCTATCAAGTACTATGAACAATATTTATCTGTTGCCCAGAGTCTAAATCGCATGCAAGATCAAGCCAAGGCTTACCGGGGTCTAGGAAATGGACACAGGTAAAAATGACAGAGGACAAACGTGGTTGATAGTTCTGCAAAAAGAGCAATTGTGACCATAATGGCAACTTCATGTCTGCATGGCAGGTTATTAATTCTGACAGTTCTTTGAATTAAGCAGGTGATATTATTACCCTTATGTTATGGAAGAAGAAACTAAAGCCCAGAGAGGTTGGGTTAATGCCTAAGATTACACAGCGTAAAAGGGACAGCTGGGAGTCAAACTTAAGGCTTTCTGACTCCAAATGCAATGCCTGTTTGACAGCATTATAATGAACAGGATAAAAGAGATAATAGGAATGGGAAAGGTGAATGAATCACTTTAACTGATCTTTTCTGAAAGTCTACCACATTATATGAATGTGTTTATTAATACAACATCTGTACCCACCAATTACTTGAACCTCATTGTGTTGCTTTTAGGAAAAGCCACCTGATAATGGGGGTGGTGGTGAATAAACATGTACTAGGTATCATGCATCGTGCTAGGCGCCTTGCATAGGTATCTTACTGAATAGTTACAGCAATTTTGTATCTATTGTGGGATGTGGGATTTATTATCACCAGAAACTGTGGCTCAGGGAAAGGAATTCCTGTGCCCCACACAGCTGGTTTGGTCTGCTGCCCAAATCCATGTTCCTCCCACTCGTATCATATCATCTCTTAGCAGCACAAAAAGACACATGTGGCCAAGCTGATGCTTTTCTCCTGGATATGGGGAACCCAAGAAGGTGTCTGTGTCTGCAGAATATATGGCCCCCACCAGATAGGCAGGGGATTAAGGCTCCTGGAGTGGAGGAAGGGCAAGGGTCAAACTAAATCTTCACCCACAGAGTGCTCTGAGAAGCTCAGGGTGAAAGATTTATAGCCACTGTAAAGTGATTTCAAAAACATAGTCTAAGCGGTAGTGGAAATTGGGAGGCCCAAAGAACCAAACAGTTCACTTGCTATCATTGTGCCTATTAATATATTTTATGTTTCCTCTGGGGTGTATATCCCATTGAATCTCAAGCTCTTGGGAAGGTCACTAAGGGATGACTTTTGAATTGCTTTCCAGATTATGAAATTCCTCTGCATCTCACTCTAAGGGCACATGATAGATTTTAGCTAGAAGAGGAGTTAAGAGCTCCTATAGTAAGTGACAGTGACAAATGCTTTTCATTTTCTCAGGGGCTTTAGCATGTCTGCACCTGCACAAAATAATATCATTGCTTTTGTGTCTACATCCCCACAGGGCAATGGGGAGCTTGCAGCAAGCCCTTGTGTGCTTTGAAAAGAGGCTTGTGGTTGCCCATGAGCTCGGGGAGGCCTTCAATAAAGCCCAGGCCTACGGAGAGCTGGGAAGTCTGCACAGCCAATTAGGGAATTACGAACAAGCCATTTCCTGCCTTGAACGCCAGCTGAACATTGCTAGAGAGATGAAGGACCGAGCCCTGGAGAGTGATGCGGCCTGTGGCCTGGGGGGCGTTTACCAGCAGATGGGGGAGTATGACACAGCCCTGCAGTACCACCAGCTTGACCTACAGATAGCAGAGGAAACCAACAACCCCACGTGCCAGGGCCGAGCCTATGGGAACCTGGGCCTGACTTACGAATCCCTAGGCACCTTTGAGAGGGCTGTGGTCTATCAAGAACAGCACTTGAGCATTGCTGCACAGATGAACGACTTGGTGGCCAAGACGGTGTCATATAGCAGCCTCGGAAGGACACATCATGCCTTGCAGAACTATTCCCAGGCAGTCATGTACTTACAGGAAGGTAGGTGAAAAGGCCCATTGTGGTCTCTTGATATACTTGAGCTCAAGTACAGAGTCAGAACTCGAGACTCGCAGGGATGTGTGCATGGTATGAGAGGCCATGGAGTGAAGATCTCAGACCATGTTGTCAACTCAGCTCCAGAGCCGCAGTGTCCGTCACCGGGTGTCCTGTGATAGTACTAAGAGGTTTCATTGTCCAGAACACCTTACCCTGTTCTCACTGGACCCAGATTGTCTTACTCTCCCGGTGACAGCATCTGCTGCTCACCAGCTGCCCGAGGAGCTAATACCCTCCTTGGTTTTCACATCCCTGTATGGGGCACACAATATATTCTTACAGAAGATGAATCAAGTAAGATTTCCTCCTCTAAAATTCTGAGGGTCTGCATCTGAAAAAAATGCCCATCTGCTCCAAGTTCTGTTGTCCCTCTAGAAAATATCTAAACTAGCAAAACTAGATAGAAGTCAGGTCTGCCATGGCAGCTGAAGTCTGAGGCAGAGGCACCAGTGTGAAGGTCACACAAGCAGTAAACCAGGCTTCCTTCCCAGAGTTTACTACCTGCAGTGCTTGGGCCGGTGCCACCGTAGGGACTTGTTCCAGGCAGGCCTGGAAACTGGAACCTGGCCATCAGGTGCCATGCAGTTTCCTGAGCACGGCTGGTCCTTAGACTCTTCCTTCCTCCCAGAGCACAAGTCCCACAGCAGTTTGTTTACCCTCCGCCTGTTTACACCCGGTGGGGCTTTCTACTCTAGACGCCCTGCCCCTCACCCAGGCACGTTGGATCCTCTCAGCCTGGAGGGGAAAAGGGGCAGATCCGATGCTTTCAGCTCACTGGTAAAAGGAAAGAGTTGCTGATTTTAAGCAAAAACTCTGGTTTATATTAATAGTTTCCAAGGAGCTTTGCATATACAGTTTATTTAATCTGATTTAATTCTCATAATAACTTTGAGAGGTGTATCTTGCTATTTATATCATTTTTGTAGCTAAGTTATCAGAGGCTCAGAGAAGTGCAGTGATTTGATCCTGACTGTGCGGTCAGTTAGTTAGGGAGTAAGGCTCAGCCTGGGTTTTCTACACCCTGTCCGGAGTTGTTTCTAACCTCACAAGAGCAAAGCAGGGTTTGGCCATTGTATCCCCTGTTCTTCTGCGCCCCAGCAGGGAAGCCTGGAGAGAGGGAAGCGGGAAGCAAAGAGGGGAGCAGGCAAGGGGATGATGGTCTGCTGTTCTCCTTTGCGCGCCCGGGGGATTGTGCTGGCTTCCGGCTGAGAGGTTACTGAGAGTCCGGAAGCCACTTCCTAGATCTTGTTTGGCTCCTACTCTGTCCAGGCGGGGCTCTGCCTCAGTGTGTTAAATGGGAATGTTGGCTTTTGATTTCCTGAACCTTGACTGTAGTAAAATTCCAACAGACTAGGAATGATTCTCAGTTGAATTTGTGAACATGATTAAATTCAGGCCCAGTGTATGACAACTTTTCAGCTGTGAGCTTTTGTACTTCCTGAAATACTGTTGCTGGGAAACAGCTGGTTTACCTGAGACATTGTAACGTAAGTCAATATTTATGGAAAACACTCAAGTTTATTTTTATTGTTTCTTGTAATTTTTAAGTCTTGCAGAGATCTGAAATTCCTACTTGTAGCAACTCCGTAGTGTCTGTTTCATGGATGTGTCCACTGGGGAGCTCGCAACCAATGTCTTCCCTCGGGGCCACACCGAATGACTCTTTCCATGATCTGTGAGCTGGTACGGGTGCAGGACACCTGGAAGGTGCTTTCCGAGTGCTCTGAGTTGGGTCTACAGCTTCTTGCAATGACTAGTTCAGCTGAAAACCATGCCAGTGCTCTCTCTCCTGGCTTTCCGAGGGGAAGGGGCTGCAGATGGCATTGCCCTGCCCTGCCCTGCCCTGCCATAGCATCTCACCAGTGGGGCCCGGTCTGAGTCTTTTGAACAAGCTCTCCAGATGATTTGGATGGACACCTCTGGTTAAAACTATTGGTCTTACCCAGGTTTTTCCCTTTTTGCAAATGAAGAAAGGGAGCCTGGAGCAATTTAGTGACTTATGGGGTTTAGATAACCAGTCCCTCACTAATAGGCTGCAGGAGAGGTGGGTGGGTGGCTCAGATTCCTAAGAGGCAGAAGCAATAGAAGACAGACACCACGTCTGTCCAGTGAGCTCGTAACACTTCATTACTTAACCTAGCGAGTGTCCTACATGCTGGGAAGACAACAAGAACAAAGCAAAATCCCTGGGCTCACAGCTCACAGAACGTGCCTTCTAAGGGGGGCTGCCTCAGTGATTTTATTTCTGACTCATTAACCTTGACTTAGCAGGGACATCTGTATAGAAGATTAATGTGGTCGACTTGCTGAAGGTTAAAGTAACCAGTATCTTCCTGGTTTTCTCCCAAGAACCATCTTCTTTCATGTGTTATCCTAGTCTGTGAAGTGTTTAAAAATGTAAATTATTGCCAGGCAGGATGTTGTGTGCCTGTAGTATCAGCTATTCTGGAGGCTGAGGCGGGAGGATCACTCATAGCCAGGAGTTCAAGATCAGCCTGGGCAACATAGTGAGACTCCGTCTCTTAAAAAAAAAAAAAAAGTGAACTATTTGCAGGTGTTATTTTTGTTACCCATTGACATGATTTAAACTTAAAATATTTGTTTCTAAATTTTCTGAATTATGTGCATTTTGAATGTTAGTTTTATGAGCTTGAACTTGAATATCACTTTTCTCAGCTGACTCAGTTCCTTTTCAAAAGTCTGAAATTGACAGTCCCAGCATGATTAGAAGTAGGCTGCCATCCACCCTGAATTAGATTAGAAGAAGGAAATCCTTCCTTTGTGTGTGCATTTGTACCGTGGGATCCTTCATGCTGTCTCTGCAAAAGGTAGCTTCTGTGTACAGAGCAGGATAATGAGAGCAAAGTGATTCTGAGTACTGCTCAGTGACCAGTACAATAAATGACTGCCTTCAGATTTGGCTCTTACAAAACCCTGGAGGCTGCTGGTGTCCTGAAACCCAGAAGCTTGCTGTGGGTAAGTGACCCAAACTGCAGGTGCCTGTCTAAAGGCTCTCAAAATCAGGACAGCCTCATTTAAGGCTTTTGACTTATAATAGCACTTGTTTTGCAACCCTACTGAGGTGCATCAAAGTCTCAGACTTAAAGGAAAAACAAATTGGACATGAAATATGTCAGTAGCATTGGTGACAGAAGACAGGGTCAGCGTGTGTACATAGTCTGCTTTCAGGAGAACAGTGTATGTGTCTCCCATCAGCACTGATCAGATGCTGTGCACGTGAGGTAGGAAAAGGTATTATCTTGGCTTCTGCATTTAACTGTCAGGAAGAGCTTTCTCAGCCAAAGAAACATAAATTTATCAGCCAGGAGTCTTCATTTGCAAAGCTAAGGATTTCACATCTGGGAGGGCGGCCAGGTTAGGTTTCATTTGTTTCAGTGCTTCTGCCTGCCCTGCAGACCTGTCCCCTGCTGATAGCCATCGTTTAAACTCTTGCTGGGGCATCTTGGAGTGTACTGGAACTGTCGCTCCCAACACAGAATTTGAAGAGAATGCTTACTCTGCCTTGGCTGATTCAGCTCTTGTCCTGCATTTTATCCGTCTGTGTTGTTAACATTCTTTACATACACCTGAAGCAAAATTAGCCTCTGGAACTCCTTGGGAGAGTGGAATTATCTGTCTTCTATGTCTCAAATTTCTCTATCTGGTTTCAGGTTTAAGGTTAGCTGAGCAACTGGGCCGAAGAGAAGATGAGGCAAAGATCCGCCATGGTCTCGGCCTCTCCCTTTGGGCTAGTGGAAACCTGGAGGAGGCCCAGCACCAGGTGAGCAGGAAAACCCTTGATGCAAGTGGGTTTTGTTTCCAGAAGCATGGAAGACCTTGGGATTGCCATCATAGTAGTGATGACATTGGCCAGAGGTGCTGACCTCTACCCTTGAGTTAACGTACAGGATCTCCAGCCCGTACCAGCCCAGAGTGTTTTCTTGCTAATTCATGTGATAGATTTCTCAATAATTTCTTTGGAATCCTTGTTTTACATGCTGTTGCTCCTCATTAAACTTTAATATGAAATTATGTTCATTTCATAACAGAAAAGTAAAAGAATTCATAATTATGGACTTAATGTCTGTCGGTTTCTAAATGCATCAATAGATACGATTTCTGTCTCTCTCACTGTCTCACGGTAAGTCTGTGTTCTGCATATGTACCGATAGTTGAAGAGAAGTGTGTCGTTGCGCTGGCTGTGGAGATGAGAAGGATCCCTGGAGCTCTGGGCTTCCTCTGTTAGGCAGGAGGACAAGTGAGATGGCTGCGTCTGAGAGCACACGCTCATGCCCACAGCCAGCGAGCGAGTGCTGTGGGGAGCACTGTGCTATGCAAAGGGGGACAAGGACAAGGAAGCCAAGGCTCCTGTCCAGAGTGCTCACAAGAGATGAGGACATGTGGCTGAATTCGTGCCATGGCATCCCAGAGTGTCAGGGTATTTTATTGTACTCTTAAAGCTATTAAAGGCAATTTAAAGAATTAATTCTCTACTTTCCTGGTTGTAAGAATTAAAACTTGTATGATATAGTGAATTTTCAATTTTCAGAGTACTTTCACTCACTCAATTTATTCCTCGAAATGACCCAGGGAGAATAACTATCCCCTTTACAGAAAGGAAGAAACCGAGACTCCGAGTCTTGCCAAAAGTCACACGGCGAATTAGTGGCAGAGTTAGGAACACATTCCTCCCTCTTACTCTCTCCTGCTCTAAATCTCTTAGTCTTAGAATTCTGGTGTTTTTTTTTAAAGTTTGGATAAATTTAAAGTTTGATATTGAGTTCCCAGCATATAACTATCAGAGTCAGAAAGGTCTTGTAGCCTCACTGCTGGAGAAGTGTCTCCATTAGGAATGTCCCTTGTCTGGTCCCTGCTGTGTCCGTGTGAGCAGGCGTGGCTCTTTGGGGAGCTGACCTGGGGCACTGCTGTAGACGGCAGTGCTTGATTCGGCTTTACAGCACTGAACCCCCTCAAAAAGCTGTCCCCCCTCCGCTGACAACGTGGTGCTCTCTTCTCTGCCTCGTCATTTCCATGCCTTTACCACATCTGTGCCCACTCCCGTCCTTCCGCACTGCGAGGCATGCAGGTGGTGAATTACGGTTGCCTGATGACAAGAGGAGAGGCTTTTTGTTTGTTTTAATAAAAATCACTGAGTTGAATTAATAACTGATTTTTTGATATCCTTCAGACCATAAGTTTATAATCCCTATCTTTTAGATCCCCTTTATATGTCAAAAATTGATTATGTAAATTATAATTTACTGGATATGATCTGATGCCTCTTGAGGTCCACACGGACCTACCTGGAAATAAAGATTCATTGTTTCAAACCTTTAAAAAATGTTTAGATTGTGCACCAAGAACTGAACCAAGTTGTCTTTTCTGAGGAATGGATGATGTTCTTCTTCCCTGCTTGCAGCTCTATAGGGCATCGGCCTTGTTTGAAACGATCCGGCACGAGGCGCAGCTGAGCACGGACTACAAACTCTCCCTCTTCGACCTGCAGACATCGTCCTACCAGGCCTTGCAGCGGGTGCTTGTCAGCCTAGGTGAGAGCACCTGGGGTCCTGTTTGTGTATATGCATGTGCTGGCCTATGTCCAAGGTGTTTAGTGACCACGGTGACAAAATATAACTCCAACCAAATATGGAGCCGCAACTACAACCATCCATTGAACACCCACTCATTTATTCAACAAAGATTGGTAGAGCACCTACTGTGTACTGAGTGCCAGCCCTGGGGATTTATTGTCAAGAAGGCCCGGTTGCTGACCTCAAGAAGCTCTGAACCCATCAGCAAACATAAGTCACTGAGTCCAGGACAGTGTGATTGGCACTAGGATAGAGGAAACTCAGACACCGTGGAAACAAAGTTGCTTGGCTGGCAGGCCCAGGAGCCAGAGAAGGTGTTCCCAAGACAGGGCCGCTTGAACCAGGTGACTTCCCCCTAGGTTCCCTCTGACCACTAATACCTGGTTCAAGCATCTAACTAAAGGGAAGTACCTGAGAAGACAGTTGGTCTCTTCTCTATTTCCTCAGCCACACATCTTCAGTGTTGCTGTCTAATACATGGTTTTGCCATCTGGGTCTGCCTCTGAGGCCGTGGCAGAGCCAGTGATAATTTCCCCAAGCCTGAGTGCCCCATCACAGTGGAGCAGCATGCATCTTCCTTCACCTGGCATTAATTGTCACAGCCAGCCCCTTCCAGCTCCCCTGTCATCTCCCTCTTCCTCGGAGATATTTGTTAGAACTAACAAAGTCTTTGAAGTTGGATGTTGAGGTCTTTTCAATAGCCTTTCCTTTGCTGTATGTATAGGAATACTCAAATTTCCTCTTGAAAAATGTTTGTATTAGATGTGCTCATTGCCTGGGATTATAATTTATCTGTTATAATCACAGTTAAGTCTGTCTAGCACTTTGAGGCTGATTTTTCCAAGGTGCACAGAAATTGTCCCTGCTGTTCCAGTTAATAACTTAATAGAGTAAAAGAAGGCATTTGCATGTGCACATATAAATCTCCACTTTCTACTGATACCAGAACCACAGGAAGCGAGGCATCCTTGTGCTATCAAGGTGCAGCATCTGGTCTCCTGCTTCTGCCCACTCTCTTTGGACCCTAGTTCTAGCAACTTTTTCATATTTATATGTATGACACAAGTAAAACATCTGCATTGCATTCCTTCAGTACTTATAAACAATCCTCACTTGGAAGTATGTTGCTTTACATTTTTTGTGCTTTAATATTGGTGCATTAGCTTTTAAACTAGATTATAGACTAGTTTCTTAGAGGAAGTGGGGCTAAAAATTGGATTGAAAGACTGAGGAAAAGCTTGAGAGAAGCAATTTTAAAGGAATAGAGACCTCAGAGGTGTAAACCCTTTGCCCATGGGGATAAGGAGGAGAAGTATGTGGGAGCCCAGAATGGAATGAGGTATCAGCTCCAACAATAGTAATACCACTTGATATACATGTGGTGCTTTAAATAACCTACCAGGCATCTTTACAGGTAGCGCCACTTTTAATCTTTACAATAGCCCTTTGAGATAAGCAGGGCAGCTATGACAATCCCTCTTTTGAGACAAAGTCAGAGAAAGGGGAAAGGGCACACCCAGCAGGGGGACCTCCATGCGTAAAGAGATGCAGGTGTGATTTGGGGCGAGGGTGGGGGGATAGGACTGGACAGGGTGATGCATAGAGGGCTGCACTGAGGAGAGCGAGATGGCCAGCAGACATGTCTTCTAGATCTCCTCTGCCAGTGCCAGTCAGAGTCACAGTTGAGCAGGGAAATGAGAGGATAGCCAGAGTGCAAAGCATCAGGTCCAGAGAACCAAGTGAATAGGGCGCGATGTGTCAGAAGCCAGGTCAGGGAGCAAGTTAGGCTGTGAAGCAGAGAATGTGCAAGGCTGAGGACAAGTGCACTGAACTAGATTGGCTCTTTTGTGCAGCTGCAAGACGGGAAGGTCCGATGGCTTAGGGTAGTGTAGAATTCATCACATTGAATCTAAAAACGTGGGGTTTTATAATAGTGAACACTGCACCTGCCATCTGAGGCAGGGAGTTGAATTTGAAGCAGCGTGACTGAGATTCTGTCACATATTGGAGAGCAGAGGCAGTGAGGTTTCTGCCCAGGATCTGATGACCCTCTCTGAGTAAACACACTCACTGTGGACTCCTCGGCCTGTCCCTTTGTCTCCTAGGCCATCATGATGAAGCCCTGGCTGTGGCAGAAAGAGGACGGACAAGGGCATTTGCTGATCTTCTGGTGGAACGACAAACAGGACAACAGGACTCTGACCCCTACTCCCCAATCACGGTTGATCAGATCTTAGAGATGGTCAATGGCCAGAGGGGACTAGTGCTTTACTATTCCCTGGCTGCAGGCTATCTGTACAGCTGGCTGCTGGCTCCTGGGGCAGGTAAGATCTCTTTCTGGGGGAGCAGGACAATGAAAACACTAGAACTGGGAAGGGATAATGAATAGAGGTGCAAGAGGTACATTATCCTAGATCAGGCTGAGGAGCTGATGTCAGATTTTAGCAAAACCTCAGCTGTGGCAAATAGTCCATGGTCAAGCATTCAATTAATAAGACAGCCCAGCTTTCTCATTCCCCTGCTGTTGAACCTGGAAATATTTATCAAGGAAGACTAAGGGCAGGAGGATTAATTTCTCTGGCTTCCCTGTTTGTCGGCAGCTGTTGTTCATTAACTAATAAAGTGATTACTGCAAGTCCTATCTTTTTCTGTCTATATCTATGTTTAATAATTGTGACCCTTTGTCATGGTAAAGTTTAAGATACTAAAATGATAAGAGCAACTCTATCACAGAATATAAATAAGTCTTATGCTTGAATTTTCTGAGTTTAACAGAACCCATTTTTAACCAGTTCTGTTGTAAATCTATTTCAGAAGTAAAAATCCTCTTTGATTAAATCAGCATTAAATGTTCAGGCTGTAACAGTTTCACTAAATACAGAAACACTAATTAGCTGTTAGGGCCATATTTTTTGCATAATAAAATGCTGATGGCTTTACCATGTTGGAGACATACCAGATCCAATTAGAGTTTATTGACTGGGGAAGTGGATCTTATAATTGGGAATCTTGAAGAATGGGCTTCTTGAATTTCTGTAAGCTAATTTCAAAAACTTTAAGTGCCAGTGAGAATTGACAAGGTTTTCTTCATTATGTTTCTATCCCTTTGATTTAAAAAAAAAAAATGATGGCTGGATGACAGCTCCCAGATGCTTTTTGGGTTCTGAGCATTTGTGCCTATACGTTCTATGCCTCAGCATTATTTTTTATAGACTTTCCCTTTAATTCCATGTTCTTTATGGGCTTTCCACAAAGAACATCCTTACCTCTGACCGTTTTTATGCTAAAGATTTTGAATTGTGATTTTCATGGTAACTTGGTGAATGTATGTTGGCCATGGTGAAATCCTTGTGTATCCCAGCTCCCAGAGTGGCACTAATATTCATGAGGACGAGGTTGATGACAGGGAGGTATCAAGCTCTTTCTCTCTGTGGTTGTTACATTTGGGGGACATGATTTAACAGGTGGTCTATCCAAAGCCCTGTAATAATGAGCCATGTATAATGAGGCTCCTATTGTTTCTTTTTCCATTCCTTTTTGCTCTTAATGAGGCTCTGAAGCTTTCACTGGGGGCTCTAATCCAATCAGAGAGGACCAGCATTTCCCAGAGCTGACACACCTCATTACCATTTGAGAGTATGTCCTATTTATTGCCAGAAAACCACTGTGGCTTGCCTCAGTTTCATGCAGCCATCATCTTTTGCTCCTTTAATCTATTAATGACCATTGACCATTTTGTCTTATTTAAAAATGGTTTAAGGTGTTTTTATCTGGCCTTTATACTATATGTTTATTATGATTTGCTTTTGTAATATGAAAGGTGTTTTATAACACAATTTCCATTTGGCCAATGATATTTTTGTTCAAGATTTCAGTTTCTGCAGAAAATATACCTTGGCATATCATGCACTAGTCCTAAAAGGAGACTTTCCCTAGTTAGTGCTTCTAAGAAGCATCTGTTTTGGAATGCATATGTGATCGTCATAATTCCAAGAGCTTCTGAAAATACCATCAAAAGAAAAGCTGTATTTTGAATTTTCTGGTTTCAAGCACCAAACCTGATGGTAAAAGCTATAAAAAGGGCACTGACTAAAATAGAGAAAGCCCTCTTGAGACCTTGGATTTCAGGATTTCTTCACATGGTTTGCAGGATGGCATGCTTGTTAAAGAAGTCAGTTACATAGCATCAGCATTCCTGTTCCCTGCCCTTTGACTTCTCCCTCCTTCCACTCCAATCATGTATAATGTCGGCTGTGCCTGTCTTGCTTCAGGAATTCTGAAGTTTCACGAACACTACCTGGGTGATAATACAGTAGAAAACTCCAGTGACTTCCAGGCCAGCAGCAGTGCAGCCCTTCCCATAGCAACCAGCTCGGCCCTAGAGCAGTACATCGCCAGCGTCCGGGAGGCCCTGGGGGTGGAGTCTTACTACTCAAGGTAGGTGGTAAAATGTTCTGAAGCCCACTTGCAGATAAATGTCAGGGTTATGTTTTGATAAACATCTTGTTTGTACTAATGGAAGAGATCTTTTGGAATTCACACTTTTGTGCTCACTCTCCTCATAGTTGCTGCAGCAGAAACAGATAAGTGTCTCTGGAGTGCAAGCTCCTTAGTGGGCTGTTTTTATTCTTTTTGGTAATTTTCCTTCAAACTGAGATGGGCCTCATCAGAGATGCCCATTGTCTAAGCATGGTTTGCAAACTGTTCAAACATAAGCATGACTTCGAACTGAACATGCCAGCTAGTTAAAACTGAGATTATTTTTGGTTATAAACATCATAATGGGTTTGTATTATAGCTGACCACCTATTTGAGAGAGTAATTTAGCACCAGTAACAGGACATGTGCACAGATCTGTGTGTTGGGGGACTGAGGTGAAGGGAGTTGAACTCCTAAATATGAAGGCTAGAGAAGGGAACTGCGTTTTGCAAAGGCTGTAAAAGGTATACGCTTATGGAAACATTTTATTGTAACGACTGACTATTTTACATATGGAAAATAATTTCCACAGACACTCTCCTTCTGGGGAAAATCAAAAGATGAGGGTTCCTTAGAGCTGGGTTGTAACCAGATTTCCCAGGCAGCAAAGTTTTCCAGCCAGTGATTAACAAGTGTCCAGAAGATCTGTGTGTCAGAGAATCTGTCGGGTCTCAAGAACATCTGCTTGTCTCCTGAATGATTTCATTTGCAATTATGAAGACCTTGAGGTATCTCCATGATTTCTTTAGAGTGGCTTCACCCAAACTTCTTAGTTTGTGGTGGTCATTACCAGCAGCTGGACCGATCTTTGGGGTGCTTATGAAGTTGGGAGGGAGTTCTAAGGTAAAAACAATTACTGGATAATATCAAGATGGAAAGGGCTATAGTGGTCATCTAGTCCAACCCCTTTATTTAACAAAAGCCAGCACTGAAATAGGACCTGCTGACAGCCAAGTTAGTGTCAGAGCCAGAAGCAAAACAATCTAGATCTCACCCAGACTTCCAGGCCAGTACTTTTTCTGTTTTTAATTATCAAAAGTAATATCATATTTTTAGAAAATAGCCAAAACATGTAAGAATGTCATTCTAGCTTCTGTCTTTATGAAGTACGAACAGGTTTTAGCCAAACATGCACACTGTTGTCGCATTGCTCCCATGACAGCTGTGCATCCTGGAGTATCACTGTCAGAATAGAATAATAGACAAGAGTTTGGCAGCTATAGGGGGTTGACAGTATGGTAACCCTCAAGAACTTGTAAGTAAGGCTGTGCTTTGAGATTTAAATTATAAATGACCATAAAGTAGGTTAGGCCAGAAGTATACAAAGCTGCTTCAGCAGACATAAAGACACTTAGGCCACTGTAATTAGACTAACAGCCTAACCAAGGGTATTGCATATCCATGCAAGAGTTAGCGGGGAATAGTTGGCCAACAGTAGAAACACAAATAAGAGACAGTAAGCAGGGCAGACTGACAACATTTATTTCTGACACTGTCAACAAAAGAGAGAACCTTGGCTTGGGGACTCAAAGTCTCATCGGCAAGGCTGATCCCATGGTGGTCATGCAGTCATCGTGTTCTCTTCTCCCTCCTGCCATCCCTCCTTCCTCAAGTATTTGTGTTCTTATTCTACATGAGGTACCACGCTAGAGATTGAGGATTGTGGTGAACAGGGCAGGCATAGCCCTGCTATCATGAAACTGAGAGCAAGCTCTGGAGTGTGGCCTTCCAAGTTTGAAAACCTCAGTGATGTTGCTAACATACCCAAAGAGGCTTCCCTCTTTGGAGCAAACTTCCATTAACCATGCTCAAAGAGAGTTGTACAAGCCAGAATACCAGTTATTGTGTACATTCTCTGCCTGCAGGTAGATTTACATGAGAAACCAAATGATAATCAGAAAGGTTGACAAGAAGCAGAGGACCTGAACAAAGGGAGGCGGGAGGACCACCTGAGAGATCTCCTCCACCAAGGAGTACTGAAAGCCTTTGTGCATACTGCCTAGGGTAGCCTTTAGCAGTTTCTTTCTCATCATCCTTCTGAGCTCAGCTCAGATATCACCTCCTCAAAGAAACCTTTACAACTCTCAGAAAAGGTTTTCCTACCCCCACTTATACATTTTCATTATACTCTTTTTGTTTTTTTTTTTTTTTGGATTTTATCATGTATTTATTAAAGACAATCATTTATAGCTTATAAAAATATTGCCTTGATATACACAAAAATTTCCTGGTTAAAGGTAATTAAAAACTACTCCACCCCCTCATGTCCACACCAATATTCAACCTAGATTGGTTTAATCTTGAAGTGTAATCCAATAAGACTGAAGACCAAACACTTCAGGTCCTGGACAAGATAATAAAATACTTGTAAGCCTTCTGGATCCTTGGATTGATTGACATCAATAAGGGAACCAATTTTTGATGTTGTGAAAGAAATGTGTTCATCTCCAATGACGATTTCAAGCTCCTGCCGACCCACTCGGTCAGGTGGAGGCCACAAAGCATCATCTTCTTTGGTAATTTCACTGTCATCAATTATTCTCTTCAGTTCCTCCATCACACTTTTATGTACATAGGCCTCTTTTCTGATCATGACATCATTTTTGTAATTGCTGTTGTTGGCATATCTCAATTTCCTGTCGGGTCGGAACTCAAACTCCAGGAACTCGTGGCCGAACTTGCCCTTGTGACTTACGTAGTAACGTAGATAAAAGTCACTTTCCATGGTTCTCAGAAGGTAACTGAGACCAAACTTTAAGAAGAAACCGCACAGCCACGGTATGCGCCCAGCACTCATACTCTGTGTTTTCACTAAAGCATATACTGCAATTTTAATGAAAAGATTTTATATACTCCATTGTTGACTATCTTTCAGTTCTGTGAGAGCAGGACCTATGTCTACCCTGTTCACCACGATCCCCAATCTCTAGCATAGTACCCTGTACTCTGTAAGAACTCAAATACTTGAGGAAGGAGGGATGGCAGAAGAGAGAAGAGAGCACGGTGACTGCATGTCCACCATGGGCTCAGCCTTGATGATGGGACTTTGAGTCCCTAAGCCAAGATTCTCTCTCCCTTTGATAGTGTCAGAAATGGACACTGCCACAGTCTGCCCTGCTTACTCTCTGTTTTGTGTTTCTACTGGTGGCCAACCAAGATCATGAAGGTACTGGATATACGGCACCTGCTATTTGAAACCTCTGCACACACAAACATGATTTCGGTGTGCCTCTCCCTTATGGTACTGTGGGGCCACACCCTCATCATCTCAGTCTAAACCAATCATTCATAGGACCCAGCCCTTGTGAAAATCTACCTAATCCTAGTTTTCAGGTATCTAGATTAAAATTCATCATAAGAAGGAAGGGGATTGTAACCTTTGACTTATTTTTCCCAGTTCTCCTCTTCATTGGGCACCATGGTTTACTCTAAACACTTGTGCACTTCTTTTATATGGCACTGGAGGTTGAATAATTGTTTCCAGGTGCCTTTTGAATTGAAAAATGTATTTTAGGTTATGGTTCATCTCTTCATCAATGGCAGGGAGAGGGGTGGATGGACTGTAGCTTGCTTGTGTTCCCCATGTTATTCTTTTCCCCTCTGCCCTGTACAGAAAGCTAACAAGTTATGATGAGTCCTTAAGATCTCTAGCAGGTTGTATGGCTTGATGCTCAGCATCACTCTGTTGGGCTACCCTCACTAGCTTAGATCTTTCCTGTTGCTTTGGAGTAATCTTGTTAGAAATTTTTTCATACTTTGTGAGCTTAAACTCATGTTTTAGATTATGATATTAAAATTGAACACTTTATTGGTGTGGTTTGAATTTACTGGTATGGAGTTTTGTGAGACCATGGTTTCTGCCTCATAGTTTCATGAACACAGTGAGAAAATTTCATTAATAGATTATTTTTAATCTATAAAATTAGTAAGTATTTTTTAAACCACAGAGTTCAGTGATGGTAAGAATACAGTGAGTGGGCAGGCTTATATACCAGGAATATACATTGAATTAGCTTTTCTAAAAATAATTTGCAAATAATATCAAAAATCTTTAACAGGTTCTTTCCCTTTGATCCCAAAATTCTCCATTCTAGAAATGGAACAAAGATCTTTACATAGGAATATTTGTCATAGATCTAGGTATTATTTTTAAAAATGGAAAACAACCTCAATATCCAACAATAATTGAACGTCAAACAAATTATTTCTGTTTATCTATATTATGTTGCAAGTAAAATTATGTTTATAGAGAATTCTTAATCACGTAGCCAAATGTTTGTGACAAAATATTGAGTGAGAAAAGTAGGATATAGAATTATTATATGTAGTATAATTTTAGTTTTATAATATATACAAAATATGGGTATAAAAAGAGAAAATTATTTGAAGGAAATAGGCCATAGTGTTAGTGGTAATTAAAAGCAAATGGTGGGATTATAAATGCATGTTATTTTATTCTTTATACTTTTCTTTATTTTTTAGTTTTTTTTCTCAATGGATGTATATTACTTTTAAAATCAGAAATTAATAGCCATGAGTAAATGACTCTGCCATTTAAAAGGAAAAAAAGAAATTTTTCTGTAATTTCACTTTACAGAGAATAAAACCCAAATTTCAGAGCCTATCACCATGGTCTGGCTCTAGGAAGGTATTCTGGGTTTATTATCTGTTTTTATCTCTTGGTGAACACCATGTTTCAGTCACTACCCCTTCCTCTCTGTGCTCTAAGAGTATACCCTTATAACCTCTTTCCCTCTGCTCTAGCTCAGGCATGTCTGAGCTCTGGAACTGTATGTGTAGCTGCCACTGGGTATCTTATAAGCATCTCTAGTCTAAAATATCTAAAGCCCAACTCTTGAGTTTCTCCCATTTCTACTTTAATCTTTATCCTGGTTCCTGCACCATCATGTAGCTAGTTGCTTAAGACAAAAACATTAATTATCACCCATTCTCTCTTTTCCCTCATCCTAACCCATAAGTAAATTTTGCAGACTCTCCCCATAAAATACATTTTGAATAACCTACCATGAATCATGAAGAAATAAAACATCTAAACAGATCTATAACTAGTAAGGAGATTGATCAGTAATCAAAAACCTCCCGATAAAAAAAAAGATCGAGGACCAGATGGTTTCACTGGAGAATTCTACCAAATATTTAAAGAAGAGTGAATACAATCCTCAAATTCTTCCAAAAAATTGAAGAGGGAATATTCCAAACTCATCTTATGAGGCCAGAATTACCCTGATACCAAAATCAGACAAAGATACTACAAGAAAAAACTATCCGTGATAAATATTGAAGCAAAAATGTTCAAGCAAATACTAGCAAACCCAATTCAACAACACATTAAAAGGATTCTACACCATGACCAAGTGAGATTTATTCTTAGGCAAGGATGGTTCAGCTATAAAAACCAATCAATGTAATATACCACATTAACAGAAAGTGAAGGACCAATCACATGATCATCTCAATTGATACAGAAGATGCATTCAATGAAATTCAATGCCCTTTTATGATAAAGACATACAATAAGCTAGCAATAGAAGGAAATCATCTCAATATAATAAAAGCCATATATGAAAAGACCACAGCTAACATCATACTAACTGGCAAAAAACTGAAAGTGTTCCTTATAAGATCAGGAATAAGGCAAGGATACTTTCTTTTGCCACTTCTATTCAACACAATACTGGAAGTCCTAGCCAGGGCCGATAGACAAGGAAGGGAAATAAAAGGCATCTATATTGGAAAGGAAGAAGTAAAACTATCTCTGTTCACAGATGATGTGATCTTATGTGTAAAAAACCCAAAGATTCTACCAAAATACTGTTAGAGCTAATAAATTCAGCAATGTTGCAGGATACGAAATCAAGACAGAGAAATCAGTTGTGTTTCTATACACTAACAAGGAACAATCTCAGGAGGAAATTAAGAAAATAATCTCATTAATAATGGCATCAAAAAGAATAAATACTTAGGAATAAACTTAACCAAGGAGGTGAAAGACCTATATTCTGAAAACTATAAGACTTTATTGAAAAGAATTAATGATTCAAATAAATGAAAGACATCCTATGTTCATGGATTAGAAGAATTAATATTGTTAAAATGCCCATACTTCCCAAAGTGATTTGCATATTCATTATAATTCCTATCAAAATCCTAGTGGCATATTTTTTTTGCAGAAATAGAAAAAAATTCTAAAATTCATACGAATCTCAAAGGACCCGCATAGCAAAAACAATATTAAGCAAGAAAGCCAAAAGGCTGGAAGTCTTACACTTCATGATTTCAAAACATTATTATAAAGCTACAGTAATCAAAACAATATGATACTAACATAGAGACAGACATATATAAACCACTGGAATAGAGTAGAGAGCCCAGAAATAAACTCTTCTGTGTATGGTCAAGTGATCTTCAACAAAAGTGCAAAGGCTATGTGATGAGGAAAGGATGGCCTCTTCAACAAATGATGTTAGGAAAACTGGACATGCACATGCAAAAAGAATGAAGTTCGACCCTTACCTTATACCATATAAAAATTAATTCAAAATGGATTAAAGACCTAAACATAAGACCCGAAATTATAAAACTCCTAGAAGAAAACATGGGAAAAGCTTTACAATATTGGATTGCCAGTGATTTTTTAGTTATGATACCAAAAGTACAGGCAAAAAAGCAAAAAAGAAATAGACAAAGAGGACTATTTCAAACTTTAAAACTTCTACATAGCAAAGAAAATGGTCAACATAGTGAAAAAGCTACCCATGGAATGGGAGAAAATATTTGCAAGCCATATATCTGATAAGGGCTTAATATTCAGAATATAATATAAAGAACTCCCACAACACAACGACAATGAAAAAAACCAAATAATCCAGTTTAAAAATAAGCAAAGGACTTGAATAGACATTCCTCCAAAGAAATATACAAATGACCAACATGCATATGAAAACAATGCTTAACATCAGTAATCATCAGTGTAATGCAAATCAAAACCACGATGGAATACCTTTTTCTCCATTAGGATGGTCATGCTAAAAAAATAAATAAATAAATAAAATAACAGATGTTGGCAAGGATATGGAGAAACTGGAACCCTTGTGCATTTTGGATGGGGATGTAAAATAATGCAGCTGCTATGGAAAACTGTATGGAATTTCCTCAAAAAATTAAAAATAGACAAATCAAAACCACAATAAGATATCCCCTAACTCCAGTGAGAATGGCTTTTATCAAGAAGTCCCAAAACAGCAGATGCTGGTGTGGATGCAGAAAGAAAGGAACACTTGTACACTGTTGGCAGGACTGCAAACTAGTACAACCTCTATGGAAAGTAGTGTGGAGATACCTCAAAGAACTAAAAGTAGAACTACCATCTGATCCAGCAATCCCACTACTGGGTATTTACCCAAGGAAAAAAAAAAGATATTTTATAAAAAAGACACTTGCACTTGAATGTTTATAGCAGCACAATTCACAATTGAAAAGATGTGGAAACAACTCAAGTGACCATCAATACATGAATAAATCAATAAAATGTGGTATATGTATACTACAGAGTATTACTCGGCCATAAAAAAATGGTGAACTAATACCTTTTATAACAACCCGGATGGAACTGGAGACCATCCTTTTAAGTGAAGTCTCAGAAGAATAGAAGAACAAAAACCACATGTACTCACTACTAAATTGAAACTCATAGAACAACACTCATGTGCACATATGGTAGTAAAATTCAATGGAAACCAAGCAAGTGGGAAGGGGTAGGGTAGGGGGTTGGGTAAATTCACACCTACCGGGTACAATGTATGCTATATGGATGATGAACACACTTGTAACTTTGAATTAAACTGTACAAAAGCAAGTCATGTACCCAAAATGTTTGTACCGCATAATATTCTGAAATAAAAATAATTAAAAACAGAATTACTCTATGATCCAGCAATCTTATTTCTGGTTATATAGCCAAAAGAATTGAATTGAAAATAGGATCTCAAAAAGATACTTGCACACCCATGTTCATTGCAGCATTATTCACAATAGCCAGGAGGTGGGAGCAACCTAACTGTCCTTCTATAGGTGAGTAGAGAAAATGTGGTATATACATATGATTAACTATGAGTGAGTCTTAATAAAGAAAGACAATCCTGTCATATGCTACACCACGGGTGAACTTTGAGGTCATTATGCTAAGTGAAATAAGCCAGACACAAAAAGACAAATACTACATGATTCCATTTGTATTAACATGAGATAGCTAAAGTAGTCAAACTCTTAGAAACAGAAAGTGGAATAGTTGTCAGCAGGAGTGTGCAGGGGGAGAAAGGGGAGTTGTTCAATATGAAAAAATTCCAGAGATCTGTTACATAACAAGGTGCATATAGCTAATGCTGCCATACGCTTAAAAACGGTTAAGATAGTAATTTTTATGTTATGTGTTTTTACCAAAATCAAAAGTATTTTAAAAAGATGTATGTAATCCACCCACTCTGTCTCCACTGCCACAAGCACAGTCCAGGACACAGTCATCTCTACCCCGAACCGTTGTTACCGCTTCCTGTCTAACCCCCGCCCCGTGGCGTTCCCATCCCCTTCCGCCAGAGTGGTCCTTCAGAGATACATTTGGGACTCCATTTTCTTCTCTCCCACCCCTCACAAAGCTTCCCACACACCCTTAAACCCCTTCAAAGTTTCTGATGGTCCTTGAACTCCAGCTCCCATTCCTTATATTGCCCCTTATCCCCGTGCGATCCAGGGATAAGGATCACCTTATCTCTGCCTGCCCCCTCAGCAGCACCTCTAGTCTCTGTTTGGCTTGGCGTCTCCATTTTGTCCCCTGGCCTCCTTCCACCCCCTGGGGCACACCAACAGCTCTGCCACCTCAGAGTTCTACACGGGCCATTTTTCCTCTCTAAAATTCTGCCCACTGTTCTTGGTATGGTTGGTTCTTTTCATCCTTCAAGTTCCTGATTGAATGGTAACTTCTCAGAAAGACCTTCCAGAAGCTCCATCGTCATTTTCATTCACCCGTCTATAGATCCCGTCCCAAGGGCAGCCCTAGGACATAGTAGATGCTTAACCAATGTTTGAGTGAATGACTGACTGACTTTCTGAATGAATGAAGTGCTTCTCCCTTCTGCCCAAATGTGTTCTTCATCTTTGCCTACAGATAGCCTAATCACTGTTTAGATCTCTGTTCAAATCTCATTCTCCTTCCATCAGAACTACTCCGATCCTTGTTAGTCCAAACCAGGTATTTACTCTAAATACAGCACTTATTTTGTTCTTTCTGATTTTATAATTACGTAGTTTGTGACACTCTAGAGGGTAGATTCTGTCCTCCTCTCTGAATTCTCACTATCACAGTGCCTGACCCATGGTTAGATGTCCGTAAGCTTGAAATTTAGTCGCCAGGAGATGTTCTGTGAGCGGACTCTGTGTTCATGCTGGGCTGGGTTACTGATTCTTTTTCTCTAGTGTTTGTAAAATATGCTGTGCCCCTAAAAATTGAGACTCTATGCCTTGGAGGACACCTTTATTCAATTAACCACAGCTCAGCCACGGTGTCCTTGTTATTCTGCAGACTGTTTTTGCTCTCCTTAATGGCATCTTGCTGCTGAAAGGAAGTAAAATGCTACAGAGGAGTTTCTGAAAATGGATTTAAAAATAAAAGAAGTGCTTTTATTAAGTGTTTAATAAGAACTTCCAGTCCCTTCCTCCCAGATCAAAAAAAGGCATAGATTGAAACCACTGTATAGAGCATGAACCTCCCATAAGGGAGATGTTATGAATTTCAAAACGCATCTTCAGTTTTAAACTGATATTTAACCAGCATCTTGCAGTATGTAAGTTGTTCCCTGGGCACCTGGAACAGTGCAGTGGCACTTTGGGGACTCGGACTGGTTAGAACACTGATAGGGCTGTGTTCAATAGTAGGTCAGGTCTGGAAGGAGTGCTCCCAAGGGGCTTTAAATAAATTGCAATCGTAGACTGCCCTTTTAATGGAGTAAATGTTCCTTTGTTGTAAAGGAATATTAACTTGATAAGCTATAACTGT